AAAGAGACTCTGTGTAGCATTTAAGATGTACCCGTGCCTTTTTATGAGGTAGCGACTGAGGTCAACAGAATAAGGTGGTAAACGGTTTTGTTTGTTGTCCCCTATGAAATGGATGGCTAATGGAGGATTTATAGATCCGAATGCAGGTTGATTGTTTTGCTTTACCTAAATAAAAACTCCTATCTAGTATCAAGAATAGACGGAGTGATCTTTACGGATACAGCTGTATTATTGCTGCAAAAGATCGATGTCTTATTTAAAAAGACTCAAAAAAAAACCCCAAGGGAATGTTCTGTGGCAATTGCTTTGCGACTATTTTATAACTTTTCTGTGCCCTCCCACTTCTTCCCTCCCAGCTACCGTCCCAACAGCTCCCAGCTCAGTTCCCAGGATTGACCGAGGAAAAACCACATCAGCCAAAGAAAATGGAACAAGACGAATTTGTGGCTGCCCCCACTCCATCCACAGGAACAGAAAAGCCTCCCCCACCTTCTAGCCCCAAATCTAGTTCCTTTCCCTCGCTCGTGCCAATCGCAGTATCTCTTTCGAGACCTTTCCTTGTGGTTAACAAAGAGACAAGATGTCCCCCACCCCAGTGGTGGAGGGTACTGCAAGCACACACCGCCTTCCAACCTTCTACCACCGCCAGTCCCTCGACTCTTTCCAAGGCTCTTACCAGGGAAATAAAGCGCAGATTGGAACCTTCTGCAGGCTCCCTCACTTTGGCCGTCTGGTCTGCATTAGTGTTTTTATAAGGGGCTCAAACAAATCGAATACAAGGTCACCAAATAATTAACAGTTGTGAATTCCCTCCTTCCCCATTAAAATACTTCCCTGCTTATATTTCATTTTCCTTTTGCCAACGACAACATTGCCTGGGCAAAGGCTCTACACTGATCACACTGCATTGCAGCTTTAGGTCCACCCAGAAACCCGCTGTTTTGCATAAACATGCTGCACAAAATGAACTTCAAGTGGGATTTACATTCCTTTTCTTCTGCCACATGAACAGCCGGGACATTTTCAGATTTTGCACGTGGACTTCCCTCCCACCCCCAATATAAAATGGAAACAACAACAAAAATTACAATCAGATTCCTGTAAACTTCTTAATGAACTGTCTTGCGAGTGTAACACAAACTGGGGGAAACGAGACGGTCTGTATCACTTTCAAATCCAGCAATAATATTCAGATCTTACTGTGTTTGTTGCGTAAAAACTCCTCCAATGTAATAAGGATTCTCTCTTGTTTGGAACCGACCTAGAAATTCTGCATCCAAAAGGGAAATCTGACATTAACCTAAGGGCCAATTGCCTGCCCCCCCCCCCCTCGTTATTGCTTGGAAAGAAGCTATCCCTGACACTGCCTTTGTGTATGAACCATTCTGCATTTCTTCCTCTTTGCCAGTTTCCTTGTTGATTTCTCTCTTTCGCAGCTCCCTCCTTCTCTTACTTTTCTCTTGCCTAGTGAGTCCTTGCAGTTCCTAATTGTCTGCTTTACTGTGGAGCTCCAATGCTGGGGGTCCTGAGGCCAGCGAGCACCATCTGCGTTTTAATGAGTTACTTCATGTGCCAACAGTAATTTTCCTACATTCAGCTAGGTCCTGTCTGATCTTGCGACCGTAACAAGCGGGGTGGGGTGGCAAAATGAGGCGGGGGAAATCGCAACCTATTCCTCACTTTCTGAATTATTTTTAACGCTTGAAAATAATACAATCTAGTGCGGCTTCTTCCCCCATCAAACTGCCCCGAAAGCGATCTCACTGGTTTAGGAGAAAGAAGAAAGCAACGCGAGGAGGAATAATATTTGAAGATTTGATTTAACCGCTCTACCCTTCTTAACTCGTTACTGAGAAGATACCGGTGCACTATTTTGGGTGTGCAATGGACAGATCAGAAGCTATGTTCTTTGGCGGCAATTCCATGCATTAACCCAAGGACAATTTTTTAAGAAAAAAAAAGAGTAATTGCAGATCATCCAATAGAATCATAGAATATCAGAGTTGGAAGGGACCTCAAGAGGTCATCTAGTCCAACCCCCTGCTCAAAGCAGCAGCAGCCTGTGACACATCAAATAAGAAAGTCTCTTACTCCTGTTAACTCTTCTTGAAATTCTCCTCCCAGAGAACAGGTTTGGGAACCGATTTTCTTTATGTGGCCAAAGGATTCTTTATACTCCGCCCCAATTGTTATCCTTATGAACCCCTGCAATTAACAAGGTCATGTGGGCAGACAAGGTATGGCTACCACTGTCTCCTCCAGAATTCCTAGTTAGGTAAATAGCAGCCTATCTAATTGGGTCAATTGGGGGGCTATATTGTCTGCAAATGAATTGACAGAAACTTTTCTGAGCAGGAACTGTTCAGCAGCAGTACAACTCCAGCTCGGCAATTAACTGGGCGAGGAGCCCACAGGGAGGTGGGCAGTAAAAAAGCTACCACTTCAGAGGAACGGAAGTTCTCTTGAAGTTTTTGGTGATGTGCCATTGGCTGGTCCACTTCATTATGGGAGACTAGACAATATTTGATATGTTATGACATGAACACTCAATTAGATCACTGAGTTGAAATACTCCAATCAGCGGCTTGATGCTAAGCAACCCATAGAAGGTCCAGCACAAGGTCACAGCCCGTGACACATCAAATCAAAATCAATGGGGGAAAGTGAGGCTTTTCCTTCATCAATTCAGGACTTCTGTTCGCAAATCACATCCCCACAGAGTAGAATCCTCCATGCAGCAAGATGAGCTAAATTTGTTAAATTAACTGTCTTTCCTCTGGTGATCAAGAATAAGATGATCTTGAAAGTGGTGTTTTTAATGCCGCTTGCACTGCTTTTCCTCTGCAAACAAGTTGGCAGTAAACCGAGTGGGGTAATTGTTATGGCGGGGAAAGAAATCTTAATTTCAGAAAGTAACTTTTAAAAATATACACAACCGGGAAACGAAACTATTTCTCTGTTTCTGTATTCCTAGAAATCCTATCCGTGACCTGCGGGTGTTTCTGACACACACACAGAGAATAGTTGCAAAACAAGCAAGCAACAAAAACCACTACACCTTTCCTGGCGTGTTTTACTCCGCGTCTAAAATCGTTCAACGCTCATCCCGGGCATCCTATTCCTCAAAGCGATTTCAGAGTGAGCAAATGACTTCGGACAAGCGACGCTTTTAAAATTAACTCTACAGGGGCCAAACATAACGGGCTATAAAAGGGGAAAATGTAGAGTTTGAAAACACATTTGCCGCTACCCCTCCTCAAGCTTTTCTTCCTTGCCCATATGAAAACAAACTGGCTCAAACATTACCGCCTATTGTCCCAGGACCTCTTGGCTGTCTGGACCCCTGGCTCAAGAGTGGCGTGTGAAGAACGGCGCTTGGACTGGGAGGAACAGTTCAGGTACGAAATAAAGGATGCCCCTCCGCAGATCAGACAAGAAGAGCTTCGGGGGCAAACAAGTCTCAGCTGCTTTTTTGGTTTTGATTGAAGCTGGGGACTAAAGAATCGCTCATAACTACAAAGGAGCCACGTGGCTTTTCAAAGCTGAGCTTTGTCCGAAAAATCATCAAACATAGTAAGTTAATTTGCTTTTCAGGGCTTTCAACAGCTAATGAACCCCGCTGACCCAGCTGAAATAGCAGCCTGCTCTTCCTATAGGTTCAGAGCTGCAGACAGGTTGTAATGAGCAGGTTGGGGGGGGGGGGGAGAATCCTAAACAGGTAGGGGGGGGAGGGAAATAATTTACAACCCTCCTTAAGAACCAGTTAATTTTTCTGTCACTAATAGCTCACAAGCCAAGGTAACCAAATGTTTTTACACTCTGTGTCCCAGTCCCAAAGGATCCTCAATTTCACCGTGCCCAGTATAAGGACTGGCAAAGAATCAGTGGAAGAGGCAGTAAAACAACCTTTAAATGCGAAAAGGGCTGAAGATCTGGGATGGATCTTTGCCCCGGTACACAGGTAATGGTCGGGGCGGGAGGGGGAGCGGAGAGGAGAGTGCGATAAGTGATCAAGAACACGGCGGTCTCAGCCTGCCCCTATGGATCGCTCAGGTTCTATCGGCATTTGTCACGTTAACCTGGTGCGGTGGACGAGGCTTACAACACCGGGGGAGAATGGCTGATGCCAGTGCAAAACAAAACACAAAGCAAAAGAGCGAGGAGGTGCAGATCCTGCTCCCACTGAAATCCACGAGGAGGATGGGGGTTTCCCCCACGGGTTTTAATGGAAGCAGGATCAGGCCCAACGAAAAGCAGGAGCAAATCAAAGCACCTTTCAATCCTGAGCTGGCTCTCCGCTAAGAGTTTTGCGCCTATCAGCGAACGCTCTGCTATAACACTTTCCTGGACTTAAAAGTGCAGCTTCCATGAACTAGCCGGCGCTTCTTTAGAAGAGCCCAATTACAAGCTGCTTCCTACTCTGAGTGATTTCAAACGGAGCTGGGCTTGTTGCAGGCAATCTTGATAAAAGCAACCCTGATAAATTAGAGCAGCTTTAGGCAGTAAATGTTCGCCCTCAGTCGGTTTGAACTTTCTATTTGCCTTACAGTTGAAGAGATAAGAGTGATCCTTTCTTTGCAAGAAGGACATAAAAAGAAGAGCAGTTTTTAAGATTGCGTTTACACTCAAGATCGCTTGCATCTTTTTAAAATATCCCTTGCGAATTCAGCGATCGTGCATGCCTCACTCATGTAAACCCGTGGTCACTGCAATCCGGACGGAGTTGCTAATCTTTTTGCTAATAAAAAAAATCCACTATTTAGTATAAGATCCACCTTCCCGATCTTTCACTCCTTTTTACAGAAAAATCCAAATCAAATATTCTCCAGAAATCGGCTGCAGAGAAACGCAGCCTGGCAAATAAATGATCTACAACGCGTGGCTGTATTAAGAAAGCTCTAAAGGGCTTACTTGGGATTTGGGCTCAAGGCGCAGGCTCCCTTCTACACCCGGCGGCGGCAGTTTCGGGTGGGTAGAGGGATGCGGCTCTTTGAACTTACCTCGTCCCCTGTCTACAAAACTAGTGATAGTATTGGCGGACTTCGAGGACTGAAAAAAGCTGGCATTGATCCCCAGTTTCTCCGCTATGGAGTAGGTCCTGTACAGAGACAGCATGTACTCGTGGGGCTCCGCTCGCTGCTGCGCTTTGCCCCCCGGCTGCGCCTCCTGCGGCAGCCGCGGCTGGTGGCTGGCCAGGGCGGGGATGCCTCTGGGGGACCTGGCCACCTTCGCCTCTCGGCGGCTCCTCGGGCCCTTGGTGGAGGAGCTGATGGAAGCCAGCTGGAAACCGGGTAAATCCCACAGGAAGCTGATGAGGAACACGGCGGAGAGCAGGGCCCGGGCTGCGTTCATAGCGAGCGGCTCCCCGGAGCAGAGCGCACGGAAAGCCCCGGCCGGTGGCGGACTGAACGAGGGCGGAGTGCAGCAGCGGCGGTGGCGCCCAGAGCCCGAGCTCCAGCGGCCTTGGGTGCTGGGATGAGTGCGAGCAGGCAAAGCCGAGCGGGGACTGTACCAGCCCCGGGCTCGGCCCCGCCTCCCTCCCTCCCAGCGACACGCCCCTTGCAGCTAAGCCGGGGGAGCGCGGCCTGGCTAGGGGACAACCTCTGGGGGGCGGGGCCTCTGCCCACCCGGGGGCGTGGCTATGCGGGTGAGGCAGAGGCAATTAGGGGCAGGCCCCGCCCCCCAGCAGCTGGGCAGTAGAGCGAAGGTGGCCAGGTCCCCCAGAGGCACCCCGCCCGGGCCAGGGGTGGGGCACAGAGCTGGGCCTACGGAGACGGCCAGCCCGTGGCGCCCCCTCATTGCGGGAAGGGCTGGGAGCAGCCACTGCTGTTAGCTTATGCCTTGTAACCAAATAAAGCTGGCGTCTCTGCTGGTCTGTTTGGGTTCTTGTGGGACGCCCATCACCCGAGTATCTGAGCCTGAGACCAGGGCAGTAGGAACTTCAGAGGGAAGAGTAAGCGGCAGCACCTTCTGCTGAAGGGAGAGTGCAGAGGTCATATTGGAAACACCCCCCACACTGGTACTAGGGTTGCCTTCCCTCCAGGATTGTCCTGGAGTCTCCAGGAATTAATTAAAGATTATGTCATGTGATGAAACCTCCAGGAATACGTCCAACCAAAATTGGCAACCCTAACTGGTACCCTGCCAGGCTGTGCCCCCACTAGCCAAGCTCCATCCCCCTGGGACAGCCAAATGAGACATCACTATGTGCAAATGTGCTATGATCATATGTACATTGCTGGGTCACCTAGACCTGAGCCCAGCTGGCAGAGGTTGAGTTACACAAGTGAGCCCTACTGTGCTTGGCTTTTCTGGGCGAGGCTGGAATGGCCCCTTGGCCTCTGTTCCTTCTCACCTGCAAGATAGAGGGGGGAGGGGATAAATGGTGTTACTCTCCCAAGTGCTGCCTACTTGTGCCAAAGTGAGCTGTCACCCAGAGTGCGCTGTACACACCTGTATAAGAAAATTGTACTTCTCCTTTGTTGCATCCTTTGATCAACAGTGAAGTAAGTAACAATTTTGGCATTTATATGGTGGTTCTCAGCTCTCCAGCTGTCGTTTCGGGTTGTGTGCAAACTCAGGGAAGTATAATGGTACAGTTGATTTTCATTTTCCATGTTATCTTTGCAGCCATAAGGGCTAAATAATTCTGTTTTTTAAATGAAAGC